GGGGGGGGGGGGGGGAGTGAGGTAAAAAGTTTACTTTTCTGAGGGGATAAAATTCAAAGTCCTCAAATTGTTTGGATATTAAATGGAATGGACCATTCTTTGAACATTATCCAGCCAGTTTATTATGCTTCAGGATGACACTAAATGTGTCTTGTAAACTAGGCATATAACCAGAGGTGCTATTCTTACAGAACAAGATGCAAAAAGGCGGCTAGGTATTCTGCAGTTTAAGTTCTTAAGATAGACGATTAACACCCGCACATCTGACTACGGTACCTAATCCCCGGACCTTACCATCAGCCTCGCCGACAACTCTGACTTCAATAGGTCGCTCTGTTGGGGGAGGCCGTTTCTTTTTTCGCCATCTCCTAGCTGGGTAACTGTAAATGTAATGCGGCGTTTGGCCAGCTCGACGTTCCAGTTTGCTGATCCATAAGTGGCAGTTGTTCATGGCAATACCTGTCTGCGCGTCAATGAACGGAATACGAAGTCGACGTTCATACCGAAGCCGAGAGTTGTAAGCCGAGACATTTTCCAATGCTTCTTTGTATAATTCCCTGCAAATTAAAACACAAAACAACAGTTAAACACCTTAAAGAAGTTTCACTGTGTTTTTAAATATCGCCTACAGTTACGATCTTGTCATAGGCTTATATTTTAATTTAATAATAAGAGGAAATCGAGATACGCACTGGGGATCTTTTGGTTCACGAGAAATCACCCTTGTCGCCATTTTGCCTTTTGTCAGCTTGGTAGCCGGGCATTATTTGGAGTAAGCTACGTAACCTGGCAAACTCATGAGAGCAACAAAATGAACTCCTCTGGTAACTCCTCTCAGACCAAGAGAAGTAGATGCAAATGAAAGTCCACGAAGTATTACAAAACTTAAAAAATAAACTTAAGTTTAACGAATAATGCGACTCATCCTTATTCTTCGGCAACATGAGAAATAACGCAATTGCTGTTTAACTCTGTTTGGGAGCGCTACGGCGCAACATACATTTTCAAAAATAGTAGCGGAGCAAATCTCATTAGAGGTCTTATGCCGAGATGAAGAACAATGATCTTAACAACGAAGTGAAGCCCACAGAGATTCAAAATTATTGCTCGTCACGCCCTCCTCTCGTGAGGGAGAAAATCTTGCGCGACGAGCCCAAAGAACTTTTATTTTGCGTAGGACCTCTGTATGCCGTGTCACGTGGCCTTGCATGTCAGTCATGATGGTCGTGGTACGAAATTAGTAAGATTTCCGGTTTTGAGGCCATTGACTTTAAAGTGTGAGATGTTATGGTTACTTTAAAGTTAAAAAATTAAGAGGACTTGTAAGGACTTACGCTGCTGAATGGCAAGCTTTCCTATTCAGCAAACAAATCGCTTATAGATTTCCTGCGAGCGCAGATGTATTTTCGGCTGTCGCTTGTCTCCGCCGAAAATAATGGAGACAAGCGATAGCTGGAAATACGTCTGCGCTGCGTCCACAGGCTAGCTGTCCTAAAATCCCGCGCTAAAAGGTCAGATTTTTCATTTCTTGTACGACCATTGATAAGACCACGTGACACGGTCACACAAAGGGCCAATTATTGTAAGAAGCAAGCTACCACTGCTAATTTTCAAGGCGGTCGTAGACCTTGAATAACGAAGTAGACGAAATAGTCTCCTTTCTGCATTATGGGTTGTTCTCGAGTCTCTTGAGATTTTAGATGAACAGGCCTCAAACTGCAGCATTATTTGGAAGGCACAGCCCAGAAGGGTCACCTACCGTTTTTATTTTTTTAATGTTTGTTTTAATTTTTGTTTTCATTTTCGTTATTTGTTTTTTAATTTTTGTTTCCGTTTTTGTTTTTTGTCTTTTAATTTTTGTTTTCGTTTTTGTTTGGTTAATTTTTGTGTTTGTTTTTGTTTTTAATTTTTGTTTCCGGTTTTGTTTCTTAAATTTTTGTTTTTGTTTTTTTTGTTTTTCATTGTCATTTTTTCTTTTCTGTTAAAAAAGAAATAAAAACGCAAACATAAATTAAAAACAGAAACAAAAATTAACAAAACAAAAACGAAAACAAAATTAAAAACAAAAAACAAAAACGGAAACAAAAATAAAAAAAAACAAAAACGAAAACGAAAACAAAATTGCAAAAGGCCAAAACAAAATCAGTAAGTGTAGACCATCATGCTTTGCTGGCAGTATCCATGACATGAACGTTGTGTGATCTTTTGGCCGTCAGGCGTAGTCACGCATCGGTTACTATAAACTCTACGGCCATTTCATTGCTTGTGTACTTGTCTTGGGAGAAGAATATAGCAAGTACAAATGTCACAAAGATTTCAAGTAAAGTCAAGGATATTTCTTCATCAACTTCCTTAACTTGTAAAAAGTGTTGAAAGGTCGTTATATAAATAAAAGCATAGCATTTTCAGAGCTCTCAAGCCCAACGCAAACGAATGTAATCTTAAGCTCTCACAATGAACTAATTATTGCACGCGCGCCTTCGGAGCTTGCAAGACTTGCCTCATTTGTTTTGAAAGTCTGGCTACGGCCCTAAACTTCTACTGGCTTCAAAAGCAGCGAAGAAATTATTTTCACATTCTACGGTGATCGTTTCGTTGTTTGCGTGTTCCGTGTTTTATTGTTTGAGGTTTTCGTGTTTGAGTGTGAAAGAAACTTGACAGATGCAAACATATTGCATGTGAGCTCCTGTTGGCGAAGGAGAAAATATTGGAAGGGACCCATACCTTACTTAGGCCACTGAGGGAGGACATGAGCATTTGTCACGATATTTGTCTTAGCCTTCAGAATTTGCCTTTCGGTACCCCACACATGAGTGGCACACAGTACAAAGACCCCCTTTGTGGTAAACGTCCCGTACTTACTACTTTCACGTCATTGATTGTAAAGTTCCCAACTGCAAGTGAAGCATGATGGTCTACACTCGTCGATTTTGTTTCGGCCGTTTCCGTTTTCGTTTTCGTTTTTGCTTTCGTTTAATGTTTTTGTTTTTGTTTCCTATTTGAACGCAAAAAACGCAAAACAGAAGCCAAAATTAAAACGAAAGGCAAAACGAAAACTAAAACAGAAATTACAAAAACAAAATAAAAAACAAAAACAAAAACAAAAACAAAAAAAACACAAA